ATCTCTAACCCCAACTCTGAACTCTTACTTTTTTGTACTCCAATGATCTTCAAGGTGGGGAAATGACTGGCCTGGAGCTCATTGGAGTAAAAAAAAAATGGGAGTTCAGTATTCAGAATAGAAATGAGTTTGAAGGACATCCAAGATCATCTCTACTCACAATTCATAATATACTTAAATAATATTAAATATTAAAATGAAAAAGCCACAATACATACCTGATGTGATGTAACCAGTGCTGCTTTGTACCAGGGTCTTCTTTTCTGCACCACCCCCTCCTGCCTGGTATGAGATTTTGGAACCACTAGTGTTTGCGCCTTCTGTTACAACACAATGATGGAAGAACTTTCACAACCCCATTCACCAACCCATAATCCTTTATAGTAACAATCTACTATTGTTCAGAAAAATAAAATGCAATTAAAATGGTTCACATAAATACTAGAGAATTTATATATAACATGTGACACTCACTACATTCACAACACAATGACTTACTTGGTGGTAGTGACACTAGTCTTGATGAAGTTGTTACTGTTTCTGAATAGGCTGAAAAACAATAGGATGACTTTAAATAGCAAATTATTTACAACCAATTCTCACTTTTCTTTGAGATAAACAGAACAGTTTTATTTATACTCTAACTTCATTGCAATATATACTGTATATGTATAATACCAGAATGTATAACAGAACCTATTGTTAATATCACTGCTTTTTGAAGAAGTATTAAAAAAATTACCACCTAGTATCCCAATTTAAAGCCCAAATGAACCCTTTTAATTTCTAATTGTAATGGAGTCAGGCTACTTATTCAGAGTCTTACTGCTGCTCTCTAATAAAACAGGCAGCAGCCCAGTTCATTGACATGCCCCCCTGACAGCTCATCAACAGGTAATCAACAGCTCTGCTTAGGGAATAAAACTGGCCATAGGCAGATTGAAATTTGACCAGCTCAGCAGAGACCAGCCACATTTTTGATTTATGTGTGGTTATTCATGCTCAACAGAAGTTGAGCACTTGATTGACTTCTGTTGAAGGAGCATGCTCGAAAACCTTTGTCAATCAGTGTCTGCAGCCAATCGGTTACAGCCTCTGATCAGTGTATTCTGACAGCTTTGAGTCCTTTTGTGGGAGTACAATGTCCTGATCCTGAACGAAGGGGTGCCTCCCTCCACCACACTTATGTGGATGGAGGAATGTTTTAGCTTTTTTTTCTCTGAGCCCACTTACTGAATGAAAATAAACTATCTGTCTGTGGCCAACTTTAGAGTGAAGTTGATAAGAGCAGTGTTTAATGGCATGTCAAACCACTGCAGAGCTTGTGCATGATAGCCATGGTGTAACTCTTCTATATGTTGACAACACAAGGATTTTTTTTTTTACCATTGGTATAGCACTTAGTAAAAAAAAGGGACTGTATAATAGTCAAGCTGCATATTGTTGTATATGCAACCTGACTATCATGCTGTAATAAATTAAGAGAGCGCTAACAAGTTACAGCGTAATATTGATGTACAGTGTTCCCCAGGTCCTGGAGTGTAGTAACAAAAGATACTTCTCTATTTATTTAATTATGCTTATATAAACTTTCCACTACAAGATAACTTACTCATGATTGTATTTGGATATTGAGAATAAAAAAGTTAAAAACTAAAAAGATAATATAGATATCTTACTTCTTCCTGCTGAGTCCCCACCTTCTCGATAACTCTTCTTAGTTATAATATCCATTCCATAGTCACCTGGAAAGAAATACATACATTTAATCAAGACATTCTGTCTATATATGTTATATTCTATGTTTCCTGATAACAGAGTAAAAATATAAAAACTGTATTGTTCTCTGAACCTTTCTAAATTTCTAAAATACCATACATTTATTTACCAGCTTTTGCAATAGGGCAACGAAGCTGAAGCAATCAAAATGCATACAATGCAGTGACCTGTAGCAGACAATTAGATTCAGGTTTACTGGAAACAGATTCTAGAATGAAAAGGTGTGACTTGTTCCCATTGGATTGATTTTTTTTAAATAAGCATGTCAAGTAAAAGTTAATCTGAACAATCATTCAGTAGCAAGTTAATGCAAAAAATGTTATGACCTGTTAAGGCTTTGTTTTGTGTAGTTGGAGAATTTGCAGACATGCATTGGATCGTTGGCTAACACCAAATAATAAGAATTCTGTGCTTCCTGAACTCTGCCCAGGTAACCGATTGTGCTGTGGAAGTTTATGTCCTTGGATTTAGTGCTCATTCACTGAAAAATTCTTGTTTTACATCTAAAAATTTGCTTTGGACCTGATAATAGTTGCTTACAAGCAACATTTTAAATTTAAAAAGTACATCTGTAGTGGATATCCCCTAATTTTTGGAAATCAATAAAAGCTTGACTGAGCTTACATTGCTGAATATTTTTCTTGTAGAGTAAGAATCGTTAAGGACATTGAGATGTATGTTTATCTTTATTTAGTTGTTTGTGTGTTGTTAGAGGATGTATCGCTATGCTCTTTAAGGCTTCATTCTCATAGCCATACAGGGACCATACAGCATATGGAGCCTGTTTAATCACCTCTTGGGACCTGCAGCTGCAGCATACGACAACCCATTGAGATGAATTAGAAGATGCAGCAGTATGTGGTTATGTGCACCCTCAAGTGCATGGACTTTCTGCGCTCCATGTCTGTTCACATGCCGGTGCTTTATGCTTCCATCCATAGCCATATACAGCCACATCTGCTAATTCATCTCAAATGTGTGTGGATGCTGAAGGCCCCAGGAGAGTGATTATGTAGGTTCTGCATGCTGTATGGCCCTTTTAAGGCTGTGAGCAGGAAGCCTTATTGGTAAATATACCTGTATAATTCCAGATCAGTAAACCTAAATGCAACATATGGTACTGATTAAATACATTAGGTCACTAAGTTTATCTACTCCATGTTATATTGCAAGGCATGCACTTCTCAAGTATTGGTGTGTAAGTGTGGAAAAAACTATTTTGGAAAATTGCTAAAAACTTAATAAAAAAAAAAACTTAGAGGTTCTATTCCTTCCCCACTCTACATAAAACATGTGCCCTTTTTGAAGAGAACTTCCCTCGCTTCCTGTCCCATAGACTTCAGGAAGCCTTCCCAACAAACTCTTCCAAACTCTGTTGAAAATATATAGTATTCCTTGGTCACCCAAGCCAGTTTGATGATAGGTGATTGTTTACACAAACTCAGAAGAAAAATGTCCCAACCACTGTTACAGATTGACACTTCCACTGGAAAGCTTGGGCTGCATGTAAATGTGAAGAAAAATATACCTAGCGTTGTGGGAAATAGTATCAGAATGAATGTAATGAATGCTGTTATTATAAACATTAAACACATGTGGTCATTATATATTATATGATATATTATAATACAAGATTTTTATGATAGTGTTCCTTTAAGTCATAATTATATAGTTACCACAGTTATAACACAGATATTGCTTTCATGCGGAATATTAAACATTTCTTGCTCCACAACAAGCAATTTCTATGCCACTAAGGATCTCTGATCATGAATTAGTTGATAGGCCAATGTAGACAGTTCATTTAAACTAAAATCATCTTCATTTTACCAATATTGGATGTTCAAAGTAAGAATGTTTAACAAAGAACAGTTGCCTTTATTTTCTAAAATGACTTTGGGAGCAAATCTAATAAAGTACTGCACCATTTGGACTTCAGCAATTTACTTAACTCACACCTTTGAAAGATGTAGAATTGGTTGTATTGGGTGATTGCATGTTGAGGTATTTTTGGAAGCCTGTACTGAGAGAAATATAGCTGATCGCCTTCAGAACACCTAATCTGCATACTTCTTTGTGTCAGTGACTTATGGCAGAATCACATCAGGCAGGTTGCCTTGTGCTGGCCAAATACAATTGCCCTGCTCCCCCTCTATTGTTCTGCACTCACATCATGTTGACTCCAAGCATGCTTTTTGCACAAATATTGTCCTAGGTCTGAGCAGGCTTGTGTTATCTGTACCCTTACTACTTAAGTGGACACAAATTAATCTAATCTGCTCCAGTGTTCGAAGTCCATGCTTGGGCCTGGTTAACAGGATCCAACAGGATCTAAATCCAACTGAAAAGTCCCACCTCTCAAGCAAGCCAAGGCACAGTATAATGTATACTGAATTGTGCCCAAGCACGGTACAGACCAATCATACTAATCAGACAAACTAAAATGTGCTCAAGCTCAGTACGTACACCGTATTGTGAGTACACCCTTAGAAAGTACTGAATCCACTGGATCAGCACAAAGGATAGGCAGTATGTGTTTTCAGATGTCATCAGTGGAAGCCTTTATAGGTCCTTCTACAAATTTCTTTTAAATACAGACAAGTGTTTGAATGTACAGTATAGAGCAAAGTCCTAAAAAAAAATAATTTTTTTTCCCAAAGGACCAACAAATGGCTCAGTTTCTTGAAAAAAACAGTCTTTGCAGTCATTTTTTGTTACAATGCAGGCTGAAGAAGAAATCAATTTAAAGCACCAAACTCCAGAAAGTAGGAGTCAATGTTTTGGGTCGCATCTTATAAAATAGATGTATACAGTACTTTCAGAAACAAATCTGAAAAATAACTCTACCTAAAACATTTCACCAAGGATATCATAGGGCAGTGGTGGCGAACCCGTGGCACGCGTGCCACAGCCGGCACGCCGAGCCTTATCTGTGGGCACGCCAGGAGAATCCAGCGGCGCGCTGTCTTCCCGGCTGTAGTGTGCGTGACAGCCGGGTCCCAAGTGCGCATGCACAAGAAGCAGTGCTCCTTGTGAATGGTAAGGCGGTACCTGGGACACATGACAGATCCCAGAAGCCGCCGGACCAATCACAAAGCGCAGCGCTTCTCGCGCATGCGCACTGGGCATCCGGCTGTCCGACGAGCGCCCACACTACAGAAGCCGGGAAGACAGCGAGCGGCTGGATCGAGGAACAGGTAAGATAAAAAAAAAAAACTCTGGTCGGAAGTAAGAGCGGGTACCTGTCAAATTCAGGTACCCGCTCCCCCTCCCTCCCCAAAGGTCAGCAGTCATCCCTGTGCTGCGTCCCCAGTCTCTGGTCATCCCCGTGCTGTGTCCCCAGTCTCTGGTCATCCCCGTGCTGTGTCCCCAGTCTCTGGTCATCCCCGTGCTGTGTCCCCAGTCTCTGGTCATCCCCGTGCTGTGTGTCCCAGTCTCTGGTCATCCCCGTGCTGTGTCCCCAGTCTCTGGTCATCCCCGTGCTGTGTCCCCCAGTCTCTGGTCATCCCCCCGTGCTGTGTCCCCAGTCTCTGGTCATCCCCCGTGCTGTGTCCCCAGTCTCTGGTCATCCCCGTGCTGTGTCCCCAGTCTCTGGTCATCCCCGTGCTGTGTCCCCAGTCTCTGGTCATCCCCGTGCTGTGTCCCCAGTCTCTGGTCATCCCCGTGCTGTGTCCCCAGTCTCTGGTCATCCCCGTGCTGTGTCCCCAGTCTCTGGTCATCCCCGTGCTGTGTCCCCAGTCTCTGGTCATCCCCGTGCTGTGTCCCCAGTCTCTGGTCATCCCCGTGCTGTGTCCCCAGTCTCTGGTCATCCCCGTGCTGTGTCCCCAGTCTCTGGTCATCCCTGTGCTGTGTCCGCAGTCTCTGGTCATCCCTGTACTGTGTCCGCAGTCTCTGGTCATCCCTGTACTGTGTCCGCAGTCTCTGGTCATCCCTGTACTGTGTCCGCAGTCTCTGGTCATCCCTGTACTGTGTCCGCAGTCTCTGGTCATCCCTGTACTGTCCACAGTTCTGGTCATCCCTGTACTGTGTCCGCAGTCTCTGGTCATCCCTGTACTGTGTCCTCAGTCTCTGGTCATCCCTGTACTGTGTCCGCAGTCTCTGGTCATCCCTGTACTGTGTCCGCAGTCTCTGGTCATCCCTGTACTGTTAATTAGTTTGCACTACTGTACGAGTTGTTTTTTCTAAACCAAAAGCTCGATATTCAGGTTTCATTGCAGTGTTGGCACTTTGAAAGAAATAAGTTAGTTTTGGGTTGCAGTTTGGGCACTCGGGCTCAAAAAGGTTCGCCATCACTGTCATAGGGCAAAGACATAGCATATAGAGACATGTAGAAACCGGTAAGCAATTACAAAAGGGAAATTTGTTTGGTTGTTCAGGTCTCCTCCAGTTTGCACACATTCACTATTCTTTAAACCCTTTGAAATCAGCCCTCATAACAACGAAGAGTAAAACCTTTAAAAGAAGTATATCTGAAATTTCAGGGCACCATGTCTAAATTTCATTGGGTCTGGGAGGTATAGGTCTCCCACTTTCTCTCACAAAAAATTGACCGCCACCTTCTGGAACTATGATAAATGCTACTACCAGTATTGAGTTGTTGGCATGGGCTGTGATCCTCCATGGCCTCTACCCTTCCCCTCCTTCTTCTCGCTACCTTCTTTTTTTATCCTATCTAACCTTCTTACCTGCCTCCTCTTTTTCTTTTCTGCTCTCTTACTAGCTCTTTTCCAAACCACTATCTTCACTTATATATACAGGTGCATCTCAGTAAATTAGAATATCATCAAAAAGTTAATTTATTTCAGTAATTCAATTCAAAAAGTGAAAATCATATATTATATAGATTCATTACACACAGAGTGATATATTTCAAGCATTTCTTTCTTTAATTTTGATGATTATGGCTTACAGCTAGTAAGAAAGTCCAAAATTCAGTATCACAGAAAAGTAGAATATTGTTCAATATTGTAGACTCACGGTGTCACACTCTAATCAGCTAATTAACTCAAAACACCTGTAAGGGTTTCATGAGCCTTTAAATGGTCTCTCAGTCTGATTCAGTAGGTTACACAATCATGGGGAAGACTGCTGACTTGACAGTTGTCCAGAAGACAGTCATTGACACCCTCCACAAGGAGGGTAAGGCACAAAAGGTCATTGTTAAAGAAGCTGGCTGTTCACAGAGTGCTGTATCCAAGCATATTAATGGAAAGTTGAGTGGAAGGAAAAAGTGTGGTAGAAAAAAGTGCACAAGCCACAGATACAACTGCAGCCTTGAGAGGATAGTGAATCAAAGGACATTCAAAAATTTGGGAGGACTCACAAGGAGTGGACTACGGTTGGTGTCAGTGCTTCAAGAGCCACTACACACAGATGTATCTAGGACATGGGCTACAATTGTTGCATTCCTTGTTTCAAGCCACTCCTGAAACACAGAGACAACGTCATGAGCGTCTTACCTGGGCTTAGGAGAAAAAGGACTGGACTCTTTCAGAGTGGTCCAAAGAGCTCTTTTTGGATGAAAGTAAAATCAAGGTACCAGAGTCTGGAGGAAAAGTGGAGAGGCACAGAATCCAAGTATCATGAGGTCCAGTGTGAAGTTTCCACAGCCAGTGACGATTTGGGGAGCCATGTCATCTGCTGGTGTTGGTCCACTGTGTTTTATCATGTCCAAAGTCAGCGCAGCCCTCTACCAGGAAATTCTAGAGCACTTCATGCTTTCCTCTGCTGACCAGCTTTATGGAGATGCTGATTCCACTTTCCAGCAGGACTTGGCACCTGCCCATACTGCCAAAAGTACCAATACCTGGTTGAATGATCATGGTATCACTGTGCTGGATTGGCCAGCAAACTCGCCTGACCCAAACCTCATAGAGAATCTGTGGGGTATTGTCAAGAGGAAGATGAGAGATACAGGACCCAACAATGCAGATGAGCTGAAGGCCGCTATCAAAGCAACCTAGGCTTCCATAAGACCTCAGCAGTGCCACAGGCTGATCACCTCCATGCCATGCCGCATTGATGCAGTAATTAATGCAAAAGGAGCCCCAACCAAGTATTGAGTGTATACTACTGTACATGGACATATTTTTCAGTAAGCCAACATTCTGTATTAAAAAATCCGTTTTCTTTATTGGACTCATATTTTCTGAGATACTGAATTTTGGGGTTTCACTAGCTATAAGTCATAATCATCAAAATTAAAGAAAGAAATGCTTGAAAAATATCACTCGGTGTGTAATGAATCTATATAATATATGATTTTTACTCTCTGAATTGAATTACTGAAATAAATTAACTTTTTGATGATATAATTTATTGAGATGCATTAATTGTATTCAGAATAACTGATTATAGAGATGAGAATTCAGTGCAATAATGCTGCTGTGTTTCACATTTCTATGTTCATTTGCTGAAAAAAACCTAAGCAAACTCTGTATTATTTTTTCTTTAAAAATAGCAATAAAAATATTGAGCAGGAAAAAAAGTATATCTATCTGACAGCAAATTCCAATTTAAGTCTTCTACCCTAATTTTTAAAACCTGTTCTGTTAAGCTTGATTTATTGCCATGTCAAATGGATCTAATTTTTCTCACTGCAAGATAATCTGCAAAATTCTGAGTTTTGCCTGGAGAAGCATTAAAGGAATTTGCACACCCAGTAACAGTGTGAAAAGGCACTCAGCACTGAATCAGGAGCTTGTGAGCAGGCTTAGATGGGATTAGTCAATCCCTGAACCCTTGTCATTTGCTTCTGTAGCACCAGTTCAGCTCCACTGCAAGTAAGGTGCCTAACTAGGCAGAAGTAGTTTTTTTTTCAAATAATAGAATGTTATAAATGTTCTTAAATGCCAAGATGCGGTTTCTAAAGTGAGCAAAATCCTCTCTTGTATTAAAAGAGGTATAGACTCCAGAGAGAGATATAATTTTACCCCTGTACAAATCATTATTAATACCTCATCTGAAATATGCAGTTCAGTTTTGGGAACCAATTCACAAAAAGAATATTGGGGAACCAGAGAAAGTGCAGAGAAGGGCAACTAAACTGATGAGAAGCATGGAGGAGCTCAGCATTGAGGAAAGATTAAAGGAATTTAATGTATTCTCTCTTGGGAAGAGGAGATAAAGGGGATATGATCAACATGTATAAATACATCAGTGGTTCATATAGTGAACTCGGTGTAGAGCTATTCACCCTGAGGTCATCACAAAGGACAAGGGAGTACTCTTTACGTTTGAAGGAAAAGAGATTTAATCTTCAAATATGGAAAGGTTTCTTAAGAGCTATCAAAATGTGGAATAGACTCCCTCAAAAGTTGGTTCTGGCTAGCTCAGTGGATTGCTTTAAAAAAGGCCTGGATTCTTTCTTGGATACACATAATATAACTGGATACTAACATTTATAGGTAAAGTTGATCCAGGTAATATCTGATTGCCTCTTGGGGGATCAGGAAGGATTTTTTTTCCCCTGCAGGAGCAAATTGGATCATGATTTTCTGTTTTTTTTGCCTTCCTCTGGATAAACTGTGGGTATAGGATTATAACTTTTTCTTTTTTTATGGTTGAACTAGATGGACTTTTGACTTTTTTTCAGCCAGATTAATGCCCTGTAATACACGTTGAGAATTTTGGACGAACGATCAGCCGTTTTTTTTTTCGTCTGCTAGTCTCACATCGAAAGCGAAGAGGTTACTAAAGATATGAAAATTCTCCTATGAAAGAAAAGAATTTCGAAAGTGATGTCATGTATTGCGTTGTATTTGTATTGTATTTTCAGATGACTACTGTACTGATTAAAACGAAAATCATATGATCTGGTATTGTACGAGAAAAAAACTGTTTGCGCTTGTCCCTTCGGATATTGTCGTACGAATTGTCGTGATCGGCTCTCAAAAGCTGTGTACTAAAGATCCGATTATCGGACGATCGGTCCTCGTACGAAAAATTTTCGTACGATTTTCTTATAGTGTGTATGAGGCATAACTGGGTAAATATGTAATTATGTTCTCATTAAAGACATCAGCAAAGTCAAAGATAGAATGTAGCTTTATACCCAGAAACATGTTGCCTTTGACATTACACTAACTCCTATTGTCTTTAGACTAGATTCAAAGTATTCTATTTGCATTCAACACACATAGGGATTGGTTTACTAATATTGGAGAGTGCAAAATCTGGTGCAGCTGTGCATGGTAGCCAATCAGCTTCTGTCTTCAGCTTGTTCAATTAAGCTTTAACGAAAAAACTGGAAGCTGATGATTGGTTTCTATGCAGAGTTGCAGCAGATTTTGCACTCTCCAGTTTTAGTAAATCAACCCCATAGTATGGCACATGTATAGGTATAAATCAGCCTATATAGTTTTCCTTTCATAACACACTAAACTGCAGCCTCATAGATGTGAACCAGCCATATAATAGGATTTCTGCTTGAAACACAATTTCATGGGGCAAAATGCATAAGTTTAGCTGCATGTAAATGGACAAGGGTGACTAGACCCTAAGGCAATATAACTAACCACATAACAACTCTGGTAGTTATATATATATATATATATATATATATATATAAAAATAACTATATGTAATATAAATGTCAAATGGTAATACAAATAGTTATGTTCAAATTTGTAGCATTTCAAGCAGAAATTATATACTTTCTTATGTGGATGGTTCACATCTATGCTCCAGTGTGTAGTGTAGTGTAGCGTGTTCTGAAAGAAAAGCTATATGGGCCTATTCACATCTACACATGTACTGTACTACACATGCTGCATATACATGGAACAGTGTGAATCCAGCCTCAAAGTTTTGGTCTTGAATCCCACCAAGGGCACCATCCGCA